TGCCGGAGGCTTGACTTTGTCAAAGCATGCCATAAGGCTGACCGGTTATGGGCTCTAACAGTATGGGAACACAAAACCTGGTTTTACCGGGGCACCCTTTTCGACCATTCGACCTAGTGCATATCAAAATTCATAGTGACCATTCCAAATTAAGACAGGTTGCTTACCCGATGTTAGGTTGTTTGAAAACTGCTGCGTACATAGTGAAACCCTAGCTCCTGACAAAATAAGACAGGGAAACCCTACCCCCCCATAGGGGTGTTTTGGCTGTCTTTACTTGCTATGTGTTTTTAGAGTGTATCTATGCAGGGGAACACACATATCAGTTCACAAGTTTGAGTATCAGACCTGAGGGCATCAATGTCAGTTTATGCGAATCAGTTATATCTGTGGGTATCCGATTCAGTATTTTGGGGGCAGTGATTTCGGGCAAAAGTGATCAGTAGTAGAGTACAGTTATCCAGCTATACTAGCGTCTGTTCTAATTGGTCCGAAATGCTGCATGTTTTCTCTTTCAGTTCAGAGAGTTGATACAGAATAGCTAGTGTTCCTCCTTGCTGAGACAAGACAGATAGCTGATTCATCAGTCGTCGTTCAGTACAACGAACTTATCATGACACAGAATTCAGAGGAGATTGTGGTTATGACGGCCGCATTAGATCAAGGAATCACTCTGCAAAGCGAGACCAATGTCGATGTACCGCATCCACCCAGGTCGTCTGTCGCGCACCCGGTCTGGACCCCCCAGTTGTATCAGCCTCGTGAGCCCACCACGTTTGAATTGATGGGAATGATAGGCGACCTCCAGAGATCCGTGGCCGATCTGGCCTATGGAATGTCGGCTTCACCACCAGCGGCACCGTATGCTGGGAATTTCATACCACAGGAGCCCCCGCTACTGGGGCGGATTGTGATCGAGCTCAGCCAACTAGAGGTTGCCTCCGGCTACAGCAACGACGTGTCAGCAACAACTGGGCTTCTCTCTGATGTAGTAACCCAAACCCCCAATCAGGCTGAGGCCAGGGGTAAGGACAAGATGAAGGCAGACACTGATCCCATTGAACAACTACTGCGGGCAGTCGAGGGTTTGAAAGCCGGGGGGATGAACAAGCAACAGATATCCGCAGTTGTGGCAAAAACTGTGGAGGATGCTTTCCCCACTCCACCTGAGGGTAGTTCAAGTCAGTCACAAAATCGGGATAGGCCCCGTCATACCAGAACAGTTCCTCCTATTCCCAACCCTGCACCTGGGAAAGATCAGAAAACCAAGGCAGTGCCTGCCGACCCTTTTGCTAGTGCGTCTAGTAAGAATACTCAGACTTCAAAGTACCTACCCCAAGGGCGCAGGATCTTTCATGCTCTCTACATGCCTCTGTCTAAGGCACTTCAGATTCTTGCCGAAAGGGGGCACCTCAAACGCCTTGAACCTCGGCCTCTCCCGAAGAATCTCCCTCTCACACATGATGCTGCTTTCTACTGCACGTACCACCAACAGACCGGTCACGCCACCGACAACTGTTTTCGCCTTCGCCATGAAGTGCAGGATCTGATCGATAATGAGGTCATTCTTCTGCCTACCTCAGCGAAGTCTGTTACCGCCGAGCTGTTGGACTTTGAGGATACTGCGAGCATGTGATCAGGGGTTGGACCACCTGCGGGCGGCGCTCGGTGTACTTCAGATGTGGCGTCTGGTACGCACTTTTTGAGCATTTGTAAATGCAGTTTTGTAGCTTCTGGCTTGGGTTTTTAGTCAATTCTCTGTTTTGTTTTTGAGTCTGCCTCTTTGCTTTGAGTCAGTCTTTTTGTTTTTGGGTCTGTCTTGTGGTACCGAGTCAGTCCCGTTGTATAGGATGTCAGGTGATTCTAGGATTGTTGCCTCGAACACCGTTTTGGTTTTGTAAATACCCTTTTGTTTTGAGTCTGTCTCTATCATGGAGCCAGTTATAATCAGGGAATTTGAATGAAGCAGCTGCGGCTATCATATTTCCATGTTTATTACAAATTTGAGCTAGTTGTACCAAAGGATTTGAATTTAACGGCTGTGCATTCCACCTGCTCTCTTGTGCCCTGAAAATCATTGCATTGACCTATGTATTTCAAAACCTCTTTAACACTGCAGTAAAAACGAAGAGGAAGGAATTCCTCGAGTTTTGCAAAACTTTAATCAATTTGAGGAAAAGAGAGGCATGCTAAGCCTTTAGTAAATGAAACCATGCTTGTTACCGTGACTACTGAGAAGGACCCTGGCTTGATCCAGATTGGTTCCACACTACCTTCGGTGCGAGCGATTTGTCGCTTTCTTAAAAAATTTCAAAAACAAATATTTTGCGCAGTCCTGCGAAGACTTGTGTGGAATCGCTCTTGAGATTGTGCAGCTTAGGATCGCTCTCAGCCTCAAGACTCGAGCCCTTGTTTTAAAGCCTTGAACCACAATTCGGAGTGTTCAACGATCGACCATCAAGAGAGGCCTGTGTGGCCAGATTGGAAGCAGCCCTCGAACAAGAGGCGCCAAAGCCAGATCAAGAAGATCAGATCTCATCAGAAGAAGCCTGTAAAGCTAGAACAGAAGAACCCCTCCAAACTATGGGCAAAAATGTCCGATTTGCTCGAAGAGCCGAAGATGGGTCCTTCAGTAAGTCAATGCAACAACCACTCTCCTGGATACGGATGGCTTCAAAATCCTAAAACCATTTGGCATGGACTTGTTACACTTTTACCCTTTGAGCGGCTCGCTAGGCCGAAAACCCGGAAGGGCGACCCAGACAAAAGTTAGAGCAAAATAAAAAATATACAAAATAGAGAAAAATAAAAAAAAAAGAAAAAAAAATATACAAAACAGAGAAAAATAAAAAACAGAAAAAAATAAAATATACAAAAGAGAGGAAAAAAGAAAGGGAAGAAATAAAGAGGAAAGAAAAGCTCGCAAGGTCGAAAACCCGCATCGGGCGCCTTGGCAAAAGTTAGAGCACAAAAGGAGAGGTTAAATACCCGAGTGTAACTTAACCAGAACTACGTAAGGCTTGATTCCCATGTTTGGGATACGTAGGCAACTTCATCCTGAAGTCCAGCCCCCAACGCTTTCATAGCGCCTCAGTCCATGTAATGGTTTTGATTATTCTTGGCCTCCCCGAATCCGATAGTTCGGTTGTGACAACTGCATACGTAGGCAACTTCACCCTGAAGTCCAACCCCCAACACCTTCAAAGTGACTGTGTCCATATATTGGTTTTGACCGTCATCGTCTTCTCTATATCCGAGAAAGTTCGGTCGTGATCATCACTAGTGAGGACTGTTTACAATATGCTGCGGCATCATCCAGACAAGGGGCAACTTTTCGTTGCCATGAGTTGCCGTTCAAACCAGGGGCAACTTTCCGTTGCCGTGCAACGTCCTCCAAACAAGGGGCAATTTTCCATTGCCTCCGATCCGAGGTTGCACATCTCAAAAGTAAGCTCCGCGCTCGTTGAACGACGGCCGTTTGTGAAAATAGTTTTTCAAAATTTTTACTGAGGTTGACTATTTTCTCGAAAATTATTTCATTTTCCAAAACTGAACCATTTTCTTGGACCCAAAAAGGAAAATTTTCAGTGCTCATAGCCTGACTTGCATGGTTTTCAAATCAAAAATCGCACAAGTAGGTTAATCTAACTCTCATATTGGTCAAAAATTGTTTTAATAGAAAACCAAAATAAAAAATGGTCATAATGATGAACTAGGGGCATGGTTGAGTCAGGCTTCCTGTTTTTCCCCCATCACCAACATACTTGCTAAGAAGGGCACAACTCAAGCTGTCATTAAAGGGCTGAAAGCTCTCTCAACCTCCGAGCAACGAGGTATCGAACCAAATGCGAAGCACGAATCTGAAAGGATCAAGGTACTCCGTTCCCTTACCTGGGGCATCGACTAAGCGCCACCGGAAGAAACAGCCGTGAGCTAACCATGTCGGGCGTGAACCCACAACTTCCTATTCATCCATTAAAAAAAATCCTTGGGGGGGATAAAAATGAGAGAATAAAGAATAGAGAAGTGTAAGTTGAGAGAAAAAGCGAGCCGAAGGGTTTTAAGAGAAAAACCGAGCTTGAGTGCCAGAGGGATGTGAGAATCACAAATAAGAAAGGGTGGGAAACAATACCCAAAGAAACTGGCTCCTCGTGATCTAAGGTCCCCCGTTTTCGTTAACGCGTCTGTATGTCGTGTGTTTTGTCTTGTTTACTTCAACCTTTGTTTTGAGTCTTTTCCAAGTGTGTCTCAGTTGTTTACCCTTTTGTCTCCGCTGTTAAGTCTTTCTCGCTGAGTTCAGTTGTAGGCTCAATACCCCGGTTTGAAGAAACTATCTTCAATTTAAAAAATTAATCGTTTTGTGCTCAAAATGCTGTGCCATTCTCCACATTTGTACAAAAACATGATTTGGTTCTTTCATACAACTGCAGGGTCCTCCCCCGATAAGTGTGAACAGGAAAACACTAGGCCTTGCCTCTTCAAAGCTTCTAGGTTTCAGATCGCATCTGAGTGTGCTTCAACTTCAGTAGATTCAACCTTCATGGTCCGTCTTGTCAGATTTGGGCTGTTTATTCAGGATCCGCTGTGTGCAAAATGAATCAAGCACTATGTTATGAGCTGTATGCAGATTAATCCCCAGTAGAGTATGAACCGAGTGTTCAGAATGTGCAGTGGTTGGTATGGTTTGTTTTTGCTGTTGACTGGTTCGTTACCTAATTATTACAATGCAAGTGTTCAATTTTCAGACAACAGATCAATTTCATTTCGTTTGAGATGTAACATGATGCAATGCGATGCAATATATGAAACGTACAAATGTAACACTTCTTCAGACAAAAAGTTTGTTTCATTTCATCATCTTTTTCAAGTACATGGTTTTGGAAATAAAAATCTGCCTGCGGCAGTACAAGGTACTCTAGCTACCAGCAAAAGGTACAAAAACAAAAAAACAACAAAGAAAAAAAAACAGCAAAAGTCTGGATCAATGACAAGAGGCCGTGGGTCTAGGGGTCCGTCCTCGTCCTCTTCCTGGAGGAAGGTCCAAGAGCATCATCAGCGCTGTCATCTGAGTCCGAGTTCGAGCCGTCTCCGGTCTCCTCCGACGATGACTCTGCCTCCGCCTCTGTCTCCGCCTCAGACTCGTCATCGTCTGGAACTGGCGCCCGTGAGCTACTCCCGACATGGGTGCATCCCGCCTTGGTGCGGGGGTATACTCTCCCATCTCCTCCGGTAGGAACAGAAGGTCCAGCTGGGGCACCTCCTACGGCAGGGATCTGGAAGGGATGCTGAAAAGTACCAAAAGCGAATGCATCAGTGTACTGTGAACAGAGTATCAATGCAGAATGCAGTGTATGAGTACAGTGTGTGAATACTGTGAACAGAGTATCAGTGCAGAATGCAGTGTATGAGTACAACATGTGAACACTGTGAACAGAGTATCAGTGCAGAATGCAGTATCAATGCAGAATGTAGTGTATGAGTACAGCATATGAACACTATGAACAGGGTATCAGTGCAGAATGCAGTGTATGAGTACAGTGTGCGAATGCCAAGAGCAGTTTATCAGTACAGAATACGATGCATCAAATGATGTGAGGGCAGTATGTCAGGTGTCGTTTTATATGTCAGAGTATGTGAAACAGTTTATGTATGGCTCGAGACCGTGGTTAGAAGGACATACCGGAATGCTATAAATGGATAGAAGGTCGAGGCTCTGCTGGAGCATCCCCATCACTGAAGCGGTCAGCTCCAAGGACTGGCGAGTGTACTCAGAAGAGGCCTGCAAAAGTATTAAGAAGCATCAATATTCCGCGGAATATCAAATCAAATGAAATGAACTAACTATGTAGAATGCAATATGTAGTAGTACATACCGGAGGCAGGTCGTAGAAACCGACCAACTCGTGATCAGGCGGAGGGGGAGCAATAGGGATCTAGTAGGTCGCCTCGCCACGCCCTCTGCATGTCATCGCCGTGGGTAGAGCAGGCCAACCAGCTCCCCGCCCTCTCTGAACTCCACTCCTGCTGCGGGCCCGAGCCCTCCTTGATGCTCCTGTCCCAGCCCCCGCTCCTACCCTAGCTACCGGCACCGCGGGTCTCTCTCTCTCAGCTCGACGGCTACCACTCAGAGGCCGCATAATGTAGGTCTGGACGTACTCTCTATAGTCGCCCTTGCCCCTAAAGCCCTCCGCATCCCAGCCGATCGTGTAATCGGCCATCTCCTGGGCGGTGAACCTCTCAGTGTCTCTCATGTGGGTAGGAGGCAGACCCGGAACTATCTGCTCTGGCAAGCCCAGGGTCTGGCGTAGGAAACGCTCACCCAAGTACCAAGCCCGACAGACCGGGCCCTCCAACAGGATCCGGAAACGTGCAGTCTCCTCTGCCTCGGCAAACCGATCTCGAATCGTCGCAGGCAATGGAGTCCAAGGCTGCCAAGTGGTCTGTAAATGACATGTAGTTTGTTATCTACTGATATTGACAATACAATGTAAAGCGAAGCTTAAATAAACCGCAAGTAAAACATACCTCTGCGGGGGTAATAGTGTCAAAGTAGCGGCGGAAAAAGATGAATGCCTCCCGCGGCCTCCGCACGCAACTCACGTCAAAGCGACACGAAAATGGGACAACGTGAGGGGTCTCTACGTCTGGCACTGGGGCGAGTCTCGGAAAGTAGACATAGACCCACAACTGCAGAGCAAAAACCAGAAGGGTTATCAGGTAAAGCAGAACACAGGATAAAGCAGAAATTGCAAGACCGTGTACTGTGCAGTGTGTTGAGCAGAGTGTACAGTGTGAGCAGTGTACAGTCAGTGTAAAGTAGGGTATATGTGTGTGCCGTGTGTACAGTCTACGATCAGCATGAAACAAAAAGTACAGAGTGTGCAGTGTACAGAGTACAGAAATGTAAAGCAGAAAAAGAAAAATGTACCTCCCAAGCGCACCAATAGCCTCCGAGCAACTGCCCATTGCCACGGGAAGCTGAGCTCATGTACCCATAGAGAGTGGCCAGAGTGGCGCCGCCCCAGTCGGAGTGCAGGATCTGCCTGACATCCACCAGTGCACTAAGCAGGAAGAGAGGCACAGTGTTTGCCCGGTCGGCGAAAATGGTAGGCCCAAACAGAAACATGAGAAAGCCGCGTGCGTATCTCTCCACAGCCACCTGAGTCATCGGAGCCTCCTCGGTCAAAGCTGGCTGGACCCTAAACTGGACCTCGAACCCAGAATATCGAACGAAGCCGGGGCGCGCAATAGGCGGCACCTTGCCGAGCAGATGGATCTGAGCAGCTGTCCACTCATCTATATCAGTATCAAAGGAAATCGGATCACCCCCTACCCCGATGCCTGTGAGCATCGAGAAATCGTAGGGAGTAATCGTCATGTCTCCCATGGCAGAAAGGTGGAACGAGTCGGTGGTGTCCCACCACCTCTCTGCTAGAGCGGCAAGGAGAGGGCTGCTCGTCGTCAGCCTGGAAAGCCCTCTGCAAAATGCGCCAAAGCCGGCCTGGTCCACGATGTGGCGAACCGCGTCGGGTAACTCTGCATACCAATCCCGAGCGGCAATATTCCCATACCCCCGGATGGTATGGGAATCTCCTTGTTCTCAAGCAGACAATGGCAAAGAAACACTAAAGTACAGTTTTGAAAAGCATTCAGATTTGGTAGTGAACTACAACATGTGATGTGTCAGTGTGTTTGCATGGTTTGTTGTAGATACAGCATGTGGGCACATTTTCCAGATTCAAACAGATATCGGGTGCCGGTGTGCTCGTAGTGAACTACAGTGACTGATGTGTCAGTATATTTGAGTGGTTCAGGGCGAATGCAGTATGTGTGCACGTGTTCAGATTCAAAGAAATAAACAGTTACAAGTGTGTTCACGGTCGATTACGGTGTACAGTGCCTCAGTGCATTTGGGTTAAGCAGTTAAAGAGCATAATCAATTACGGCAGCCAAGTGTTCTAGGTTGCGGAAAGTAAAGCAGAGGGAAGAATGTTACCTCGCAAGCGCCGAAGGACAAATGAGATGTAGGCTCGCACAAGAGAAGATCTGGAGGCACGCCCCTCTCGAAGCTCCTGAACTGACGAAGTCCGTCGGGAGGAAGCACGTGAATCGCCGGCCGGTAGGTCGCCGAGTTGAACGGGCGGACGCTCAAGGGGAGGAGCTCGGCCCCGGGGTCCATCTTATGATCTGGGGGAGTCCCGCCCTGTGGGATATCATCCGCCATGTCAATGGTCATGAGAAAATGGCCAGAAAACTGAAAGTCAGGCTGGAATGTGAAAGGTCAACGAAAAGTCAACCCCCGAGAGGGTGGAAAATGGCCGGAAAAGCCGGGAAGTGAAAAAGGTATAGGAATCGAGAGGAAAACGAGGCGAACAAACCCCAAAAAGTGGAAATGGCAATAGAAGCACCGAAACAAAGAAATGTTCGATTCAAAATGTTCGAAACGCGAAGAACTTCGCGAATCCAACGACGAAACAGGCGCAAAAACACGAGAAAAATGAGGAACGAAGGAAGAAAAATGTCCTAGAGAGAGGGAGGAAGCATTTTCGGCTAGAGAGAAATGAGAAAAATAGGGTTTGAAACCCTATTTTAAAAGACCTGAGATGAAAAGTCAAAACTGCCCCGATTCAGGCATTTTTTGCCGGTCGGCTACATTTTTGGCCGGCCGGCCAAATATTTGGCCGGTGATGTATTTTGGTGGACGATGAACAGCCGGTGACTCCCCCTTCTGGCCGGTGAGCCTCCTACAACCTTGTTTGGGTCAGATCTGTAGTTTGGGCCTTCATTGCTCAAGATAGTACATGAAAAGGCATTTTCGAAGCTCAATCGGCCTCCGTTTTGGCCTCGGACCATGTCTTCTGTGCGTGGCACTCGAATATGTGCGAGGAGTATCCTTTTTGTATCCTTTTGTCCCTTACAAGATGTGAAAGTTTCCTTACTTGCATTGCATTACGACGCTTTGTCGTGAACGCGCGCTGGTTATGCGTTATCTAGTTCGCATTGTTGCGCACATATCTTGTAAGTATCATACACATGTCAATTGCATTGTCTTGTGCATTTCAAATCAATCGCAATGTCTTGTGCACTCGCGTTGTCTAACGCATCGCGCTGTTTTGCGCATCTTATTGCATTTTGCATACATTCGTCGCGCTGTTTTGCGCATCTCATTGTATTTTGCATGCATTCCATCGCGCTATCTTGCGCATCGCACTGTCTTGTGCACTCGCGTTGTCTAACGCATCGCGCTGGCCTTTGCCATCGAGTCAGGGTTTCCTAAATTCCCCATAAAAAATATTTAGGTGGCGACTCTGTATCTGGCAAAGCAGTCCATGTTTGGCACTACTTTTTCAAAAATCTGTTTCTCAAAACAATTTGCCGGATTTGGACTCTTTGA